GTTTCACCATATTGACCAGGATGGTCTCGATCTCTTGACCTCGTGATCCACCCGCCTTGGCCTCCCAAAGTGCTGGGATTACAGGCGTGAGCCACCGCGCCTGGCTTATTTATTTATTTTTTAAGACAGGGTTTCACCATGTTGGTCAGGCTGGTCTTGAACGCTGGACCTCAGGTGATCCGCCCGCCTTGGCCTCCAAAGTGCTTGGATTACAGGTGTGAGCCACCACGCCCGGCCTGAAGTTTTCATCTCATTGTGGTTTTGATTTGCATTTCCCTCAAGGCTAATGATAATGTTCATCTTTTCATGTGTTTATTGGCTATCTGTATATCATTTTTTACAGAATTCCATTAACGTAAAACTACCTTAATTGTTCAGGTCAAAAGGTAGGCATTCTGTTGCTACCAGCTCTTTACAGCTAATGCATAGCTACCAGCAAATTACAGCAGAGTAGTTACTAGGAACTCTTTTCCCACTTGTCATCGTCCTTTTTGTTGTTTGTTTTGAGACAGGGTCTATTTTGTTTTGAGACATACAGTTCTGTTGCCCTGTATGGAGTGCAGTGGTGTGATCACCACTCACTGCAGCCTCAGCCTTCTGGGCTCAAACTATCTGCCTGCCTCCCAAAGTGCTGGGATTACAGGCATGAGCCACCACGCCAGCCCTATTCTTTTTTTCTGTGTACCATCTTTTCCTTATTTTATTAGACACATTTGTTTCTGTATTTTGTTATATAGACAAAATTGATAGCTGACATTTATTGAGGGCTTTATTATGTGCCAGGTACAGTGTTAAATGCTCTGCATGTATTATTTAAACTTTCACAATTGTAGCTAGGGAAACAGGGCGTGTTAGTAACTTTACCAAAGTCGTAATTATCTTGTGTCTGGAGACTATATTAAAACAAATTGTACACATTTCTTTAAAGCTTGTTTTGTGGTTGACAGCTATGTCCAAAAAGAATATACATTTCCTACCTTTGAGTCTTAATTCTTCAGTATTACATCACTGGCCTCTAGTCTTCAGTCCCTGTGGCTTTTAGAATTTGTTTTTTAAAATTAATGACTACTTGGGCCTGGTGGCTCATGCCTGTAATCCCAGCACTTTGGGAGGCCAAGACAGGTGGATTGTTTCAGCCCAGGAGTTTGAGACCAGTCTGGGCAACATGGCAAAATCTGGTTTCTACAAAAAAAAAAAAAAAACCAACAACATTAGCGGGGCATGGTTTTACACGTCTGTGGTCCCAGCTACTTAGGAGACTGGAAGATCTATTGAGCCCAGGAGGTTGAGACTGCAGGAGCCATGCTCACGCCATCGTACTCCAGTCTGGGCGACAGAGCAAGACCCTATCTCATAACAATAAGAAGAAAATTGATGACCTATTTCTTAAATTTTTCGAGTCTTACTCTGTCGCCCAGGCTGGAGTACAGTGGCACGATCTCGGCTTACTGCAACCTCTGCTTCCCGGGTTCAAGCACTTCTGCCTCAGCCTCTCGAGTAGCTGGGACTACAGGCACACCCCAGCACGCCTGGCTAATGTTTTGTTATTTTTAGTAGAGACAGGGTTTCACTCTATTGCCCAGGCTGGTTTTGAACTCCTGAGCTCAGGCAATCTGCCCTCCTTGGCCTCTAAAAGTGCTGAGATTACAGGTGTGAGCCACTGCACCCAGCCTAACTTTATAACTTACTGTTTTTTATTTTATGGTTTTTTTGTTTGTTTGTTTTGTTTTTTTTTTTTTTTTTGGTCGGGTTTTTTTTTTTTTTTTTTTTTTTTTTTTTTTTTTTTTTTTTTTTTGAGACGGAGTTTCACTCTTGTTGCCCAAGCTGGAGTGCAATGGCGCGATCTTGGCTCACTGCAACCTCTGTCTCCCAGTTCAAGTGATTCTCCTGCCTCAGCCTCCCGCGTAGCTGGAATTACAGGCATGCGCCACCATGCCTGACTAATTTTGTATTTTTAGTAGAGACAGGGTTTTTCCATGTTGGTCAGACTGGTCTCGAACTCCTGACCTCTCTCAGGTGATCGCCTGACTCAGTCTCCCAAAGTGCTGGGAGTACAGGCATGAGCCATCATGCCAGACCCAGGCTAGTTTTTAAAATACATTTTTAGAGATGGGGCCTTGCTGTGTTGCCTAGGCTGGTCTGGAACTCTACCACTTGAATTTTTAGCATAAAGCAACTACATCCCCACTCAAAAAGTATTGCTGCTTTAAGCTAACAAGTTCAAATGGTAGATTAATCATTTACAAGGTTCAAAAAAAAAAACTACTGTTAATAGCATTAGACAATTCAGGTAGATTTTTTTAAAGGGTATTCTTGGCCGGGCACGGTGGCTCACGCCTATAATCTCAGCACTTTGGGAGGCTGAGGCGGGTGGATCATGAGGTCAAGAGATTGAGACCATCCTGGTCAACATGATGAAACCCCATCTCTACTAAAAATACAAAAATTAGCTGGGCATGGTGGCGCGAGCCTGTAGTCCCAGTTACTTGGGAGGCTGAGGCAGGAGAATTGTTTGAACCCAGGAGGCGGAGGTTGCGGTGAGCCGAGATCACGCCACTGCACTCCAGCCTGGGTAACGAGCGGGACTCAAAAAAAAAAAAAAAGGTATTCTTATTTAACAAACATATGCCTGATTACCTTATCAAGATAGTTTTTCACTTCTCACTACTTAAGGTTATAACATGCAGTATCACTGTGAAAATTAAAAGGGCTGTGAGAATTCAGAAACTCAGTGTTGTTTTTTCTCAAAGCCAAAATAATGTCATAATTTCTGAAATAAATGACTTACATTTTAAATACATGATAAATTGATGTTTTTGTCAGCAATAGGGAAAAAAATTCTTGTTACAATGTATTGAGTATTGAATATTTTTGCATTGTTAGTGAGAATTGTGTTTGGTTTATTTTGTGACATTTAAACCTTCTTCATCATTGAAATTTTGCAGGAGAACGCCCATATAAATGTGAACTTTGTCCTTACTCAAGTTCTCAGAAGACTCATCTAACTAGACATATGCGTACTCATTCAGGTTGGTACGAAATGGGAACTTTTCTATCATTTTCAGTAAATGACCATTTTAAGGACATTCTTTTAGACTTGTAACTGAGTCATTTATTTATGATTTATTTTTAATATAATTTAGAAGTTAGAATTCAAAAATCAGTTTTCTATCGGGAATTCCTAACGTGGAATCCAAAGGTGGACCTCCTGAGAATGAAATTTTTGTGTACACCTTTTCTGGGAGGAGGGTCCTTAATTCTTATCAAATCTTTGAAGTGTTCCGTTACTCCAACAGAAGTTAAACTAATATAGACCAAGGCTGATTGATCCTTTCTGCCTAACCCGTACTTCTCACATTTCCGCTAACAGAATAAAGCTGAGATTCATAATATGTGATTGGCATGTGTCAGGGATTCCTTTTTAGCTTTTCAGGTCCTGAAATTTAGGTTTGTTCTCTTTCAAGGTTTGGTAGAGCTTTTGAGGACTGACTGCAAAAGCTTAGCTTGAAAATGAGAATAATAGACAATTTAGGATGCCAATTTATTAATCTATAGTAAGAGTATAGGACTATAACACGAGAGATTCATCCACGCCAGTGACCGAAACAATCACTGTCACCACTCAGAATTAGACCCCATTGTCTGGGTATGGTGGCTCATGCCTGTAATCCCAACACTTTTGGAGGTTGAGGCGGGCAGATCACTTGAGGTTGGGAGTGCAAGACCAGCCTGACCAACATGGAGAAACCCTGTCTCTACTAAAAATAAAAAATTAGCTGGGCATGGTGGTGCCTGCCTGTAATCCCAGTTACTCAGGAGGCTGAAACAGGAGAATCGCTTGAACCTGGGAGGCAGAGGTGGCAGTGAGCCAAGATCACGCCATTGCATTCCAACCTGGGCAACGAGAGCAAAACGCTGTCTCAAAAAAAAAAAAAAAATTAGTCCCCATTATCAAGTTAAAAAGTAATGTTAGCATCGGTGATCTTGCTCAAATGGGTAATTATTTTATTCCAGCTCTGATGACTCTTGGTGAGCTACCACTTCTTTTCTTCATTGAGACTGAGCCTTGCTCTGTCTCCCAGGCTGGAGTGCAGTGGCGCAATGTCAGCTCACTGCAGCCTCCACCTACCGGGTTCAAGCAGTTCTCCTGCCTCAGCCTCCTGAGTAGGTGGATTACAGGCGTGTGCCACCATGCCTGGCTAATTTTTGTATTTTTAGTAGAGATGGGGTTTTACCATGTTGGTCAGGCTGTTCTTGAACTCCTGACCTCATGATCCTCCTGCCTCAGCTGGGATTACAGGGTGAGCCACCGCGGCTGACCCAACTACCACTTCTGATTAGATTATAGATTTAGAAAGTATGTCTCTGTGGAAAAAGTATCTTAAATCTTGCTGTTTACAAAAGTCTGTGTAGACCCATCTCCCTTAAGTTAATAATTATCTTAGATCTGTGCTATTCAGTTGAGTAGCCACTAACCACATGTGGTTATTAAACTTTTGAAACATTGCTAGTTTGAATTGATATTTATAGAATATGTACTTACCAGATTTTGTTTTCCTTTTTTTTTTCTTTAGTTGAGATAGAGTCTTGCACTGTCCCCCAGGCTGGAGTGCAGTGGCACAGATCTCAGCTCACTGCAACCTCTGCCTCCCGGGTTTAAGCAATTCTCATGCCTCAGCCTCCCTAGTAGAGGGGATTACAGGCATGTGCCACCATTCCGGGCTAATTTTTGTAATTTTAGTAGAGATGGGGTTTCACCATGTTGGCCAGGCAGGTCTCGAACTCCTGACCTCAAGTGATCTGCACATCTTGGCCTTCCAAAGTGCTGGGCTTACAGGTGTGAGCCACCACACCTGGCCACAGTTTGAAATAGTATGAAGAATATCTTTCTCTGAAGCAGGTTAGAGAAAAAATAAAGAATGTTAAATATTTATTTTTCAAGTTGATCATATAGTGAAATTATTGAATACATTGGCTTTAAAAAGTAATAACATAAATTTTACCTGTTTTCCTTTTTACCTTTGTTATATGACTACTAGAAAATTTAAGATTACATGTGTGATATGCATTATCTACTGGACATTGCTGCCATGAGTTAGGAATAAGACTTGATAATAATATTTGATTATATTGCAGGTTCTGATTTGAACAGCTATGAAGGTGTCCTGTAGTATGCTTGCTAGTCTTTCTTGACCCCACATGCTTGTCATGCTAATGTGCTTTGAGCGTTTTTTTCCCTGAATCTAAGCCATTGAGTGGTGCCACTTAACCAGAAACCTGATTTCATTATTTTTGGTTGTTTCTGGTTTCATTCTCTGGATGGTAACATGGATGCAATCTCAGCCGTTGAGGGTAGGCATCATGTCCTGTTCATAGTTGTACTCTAGCTTTTTAGTAAAATATTTAAGAGCTTTATATTATTATTATTACTTTTTTTTTTTTCTGTAGCGGAGTTTTGCTCTTGTTGCCCAGGCTGGAGTGCAATGGCACGATCTCAGCTCACTGCAACCTCCGTTTTCTGGGTTCAAGTGATTCTCCTGCTTCAGCCTCCCAAGTAGCTGGGAGGCTCCCATGTGCCACCATGCCTGGTTAATTTTGTATTTTTAGTAGAGATGAGGTTTCACCATGTTGGCCAGCATGGTCTTGAACTCCTGAAGTCAAGTGGTTTGCCTGCCTCAGCCTTCCGAAGTGCCGGGATTACAGGCGTGAGCTACCGCTCCTGGCCAAGAGCTTTATTTTAGTTAACTAGTTTTAGTCTTCATAACTATTTTGTTTTGCATGAGTTCTATTATCCCCATTTTACAGATCGGGAATATAGGGCATTGAAAAAATATGCCTTTTTTTTTTTTTTTGTAGAATGTCCTCCCTTCTGGATATGTCCACTTGTTTTCTCATGGTGTCATTTAACTTTTCTTCTATCTTTTTTATTGTAAACTGGAAATTAAATTTAAATCCTTGATAATCTTTCCCGCAAATGATATGTCTCATTTAAAGTCACATTTAGTTGATCCATTAATATAATGTTGGGTCACTGCGTATAGAAGGACTACATACTTAATTAGTAATACTTTGCCTTGTCACTGTTTAAATGTTTATAGTGTTCTATACCAGTTGATAATCTTTGCCTGAAACAATTGTATTTGGGCTTGCAAAATGTTTTGAGTTTTGCCTGCTATATTTTAAAAATGATTTTTAGTAGTTGCTGGTACAGTATAGCAAGTATTTTAATGGTGTCTTAAGAACTAGTAATAGTTACTAGCTGTTGTATATATGCTGGTTACTAAAAACAAGTATTTGGTGTCTCCAATTTTAGTAATACAAAGATACTGAGTTTCAGATTATATATTATAGGACAAAAGCTCACAAATAAGTAATTTTTGTTGCTGTTTATGTTTTTGGAGTCGGGGACTCTGTTGCCCAGGCTGGAATGCAGTGGTGTGATCACACCTCACTGCAACTTCAAATGCCTGGGCTCAAGCCATTCTCCTGCCTCAGTCTCCCGAGTAGCTGGGTCTACTGGCACATGCCACCACTCCAGCTAATGGGGACTATTATTATTTTTGAGATGGAGTTTTGCTCTTGTCGCCCAGCTGGAGTGCAGTGGCACAATCTCAACTCACTGCAACCTCCGGTTCCTGAGTTCTAGCTGGAGTGCAGTGGCACAATCTCGGTTCACTTCAGCCTCCGCCTCCCAGCAGGTTCAAGCGATTCTCCTACACCAGCCTCCTGAGTAGCTAGGACTACAAGCATGAGCCACCACGCCCCAGCTAAGTTTTTTTATTTTTTTATTTTTATTTTTTAGTAGAAACAGGGTTTCACTATATTGAACAGGCTGGTCTTGGACTCCTGAGCTTGTGATCTGTCCACCTTTGGCTTCCCAAAGTGCTGGAATTACAAGTGTGAACCACTGTGCCCGGCCTTTTTTTTTTTTTTTTTTTTTTGATATGGAGTCTCGCTCTATTGTCAGGCTGGAGTACAGTAGCAGGATCTTGGCTCACTGCAACCTTTGCCTCCCGGGTTCAAGTGATTTTCCTGCCTTAGTATCCTGAGTAGCTGGGACTACAGGTGTGCACCCGCACCCAGCTAATTTTTGTGTTTTTAGTAGTGATGGGGTTTCACCATGTTGGCCATGATGGTCTCTATCTGTTGACCTCATGATCCACCCACCTCAGCCTCCCAAAGGGCTGGGATTACAGAAGTGAGCCACCGCACTCTGTTGGGACTATTATTTTTATTTATTTATTTCTTTTTTTTGAGATGGGGTTTCACCATGTTGGTCAGACTGGTCTCAAACTCCTGACCTCAGGTAATCCATCTGCCTCGGCCTCCCAAAGTGGTGGTATTGCAGGCGTGAGCCACCGTGCCGGGCTGATTTTTATTTAAGTATCCTATTTATTTTTATAGAGACTGGGTCTTGCTGTGTTGCCCAGGCTGGCCTCAAACTCCTGGCCTCAAGCAGTTCTCTTGTCTCAGCCTTTCAAAGTGTTGGCATTACAGGCATGAATCACTGTGTCCAAATGTATATGTTTATTTTGATAACATCGGTGCCAAGGAACTATCTTAAATAGCTGGGATTGTTTGAAAGTTATTATAATAGTTTGAGAATCTTTGTAGAATAAATTTAAAAAACAATATTTTATTGAGGTATAATTTATAAATTTGAAAATGCACAGGTCTTAAGTGTACAGCTCAGTGACTATGCCTTCACCTAGTTGACTATCACTCAAGTACAAGATGTGGAATACTTCTGCTCAGGAACACCTTGCCCTTTTCACTCAGCACACCCAGTCTTTTCCCTGGATGATATTCTGTGTCCTACCAAAGAACATTGTAGTGTGTTTGTTTGTTTTCTTTTAGATGGGCTCTCACTCTGTCACCCAGGCTGGAGTGCAGTGGGCACAGCTACAGCTTCCTAAACCTCTTGGCACGATTCACTGCGCCTAGTTTTAGGACTTTTTTTAGTAAAATGTTCTTGAGGTTTATTTATGTTGCATTATTGGAACTTCATTTTATTGCTGGTAATTTATTGTATGCCCCCATTACTTTTTACTTAAAAATTTTCTCTGCCGGCTGGGCGCAGTGGCTCACGCCTATAATCCTAGCACTTTGGGAGGCCAAAGTGGGCGTGTCACCTGAGGTCAGGAGTTCAAGAACAGAATGTCCAACGTGATGAAACCCAGTCTGTGCTAAAATGCAAAAATTAGCTGGGCGTGATGGTGGGTGCCTGTAATCCCAGCTACTTGGGAGGCTGAGATGAGAGAATCACTTGAACTCAGAAGATGGTGGTTGCAGTGAGCGGAGATCACGCCACTGCACTCCAGCCTGGGCAGCTGAGCAAGACTCAGTCTCAAAAAAAAAAAATTTCCTTTGATATTCTCTCTAGATATTTGTTTTGTTTTTATTTTTAATAGATTTAATTTAAAAAATTTAAAAACACTAAGAGGCTTGTGCTTGTGTATTTTTCACTGCAGCCTTGACCTCCTAGGTTCAAGCGATCCTCCTGCCTTAGCCTCTAGAGTAGGTGGCTGTGGGCTTGTACCACCACATCTGGCTAATTAAAAAATTTTTTTTGTAGAGGCAGGGTCTCACTAGGTTGTCCACATTGGTCTCAAAACTCTTTAACTCAAGCAGTCTTCCTCACCTCAGCCTCCCAAAAGGACTAGGATTACGGGTGTGAGCCACTATGCCTGACTATTCTTCGAAGAATGCTTTTGAAACGTATATGTAAAGCTTACAAAAATCCTTCCCCTTTTGACTTGCTTACTCCTATAAATTCATTTTGGAGGCATAAAACAAACAACTGGCAGATTTATAAAGAAGAGAAGCTGTTAAAAAAAATTTCTGTATCCTCCCTTTCCCTTCGCCATTCCTTAGGGAGAACCATGTACCTTGATGCTTGCTGTATAGATCGCCTTATTCATTAGAGTTTATAAAATTATGATATTTTAATTATAATTCTATTAGTGTAAATATGAAGAGAAGAGATAAATTCCATTTACCTATTTACTCATAAGAAAGACAGGATACATAAGAGTCTTCCCATGTATTTATTTATTTGCTTATTTATTTGAGGAGTTTCACTCTTGTTCAGGTTGGAGTGCAGTGGCGCTATCATGGCTCATGGCAACCTCCGCTTCCCAGGTTCAAGCGATTCTCCTGCCTCAGCCTTCTGAGTAGCTGGGATAACAGGCATGTGCTACCATACCTGGCTAATTTTTTTTTGTATTTTTAGTAGAGACAGAGTTTATGTTGGTCAGGCTGGTCTTGAACTCCTGACCTCAGGTGATCCTCCCACCTCAGCCTCCCAAAAGTGCTGGGATTACGGGTGTAAGCCACTGTACCTGGCCTTATTTTACTTTTTGAGAAAGAGTCTCACCCTGTTGCCCAGGCTGGAGTGCAATGGTTCAGTCTCAGCTCACAGCAACTTTCGCTTCCCAGGTTCAAGCGATTCTTCTGCCTCAGCTTCCCAAGTAGCTGGGATTATAGGTGCGTGCCACCATGCCCAGCTAATTTTTTGTATTTTTAGTAGAGATGGGGTTTCACCATGGAATTACAGGCATGAACCACTGTGCCCAGCCTTTTTAATTAATTTCTTTTTTGAGACAAGCCTAGCTGTTGCCCAGGCTGTAGTGCAGTGGTATAATCTCAGCTCGAAGCAGCCTCCACCTCCCAGATTCAAGCGATTCTCTTGCCTCAACCTCCCAAGTAGCTGGGACTATAGGCATACACCACCACACTCGGCTAACTTTTTTTGTATTTTTACAAAATGCTTCCCAAAATTTTGTATTTTTACAAAAATGCCTCCCAAAGTTCTGGGATTACAGGCGTGACCCACCATGCCTGGCGTAGTCTTCTCTTTTATTTATCCATACTCAGAGTTACCAATTGGTTCCAAAAGTGAAAATTCTTGCTCTCTGCTCCATGTTAAGGACTTTACATGGATTAGATTAGATTATAGCTCACAACACTTAAGAGAGTGTTTTATATTTTAAGAAATTGAACTCTAGAGAGGTTTCAGTACTTTGCTCAAAGTCTCAGAGTAAGCATCTTGCAGAGCCCATTGTTTTATCTCCCAGATAGTCTAGCTCTGTCTAGAACAAGTTCTTAGGCCTTGTGCTACCTATCTTTCTATGTTCTATGCCCACATATGTTAAGAAAATGTTTGTCTCCATTTAAGTCATTCACTGGAGAGGACAATATAGAACCAAGTATAGAGTAATGTAGCATGTTGTAGAAGCTTGCATATTAATAAATCTTTTAGCAGACCAATATGGAGAAGAATTATCTGGTCAGCTGAATATCCAATTTGACTACCTGGATAAGATGATTATTTTATTACCAGGCATTTTCTAATCATGTGAAGTTTAACATCTACATGGTTTTGCCTAATGTTTGATTTTGCTTTATGAAAAATTTTAGTAAGATTTGATAATGAATTTGAGAATGTTTGAGATGAATTTTCATAAATGTCAATTTCCATTTTTCTACTATGCATTCCATTGGACCAGTGGGGTATGGATACCATTTGGTAATATTTACTAGAGTGTGATCTAGATGGGTATGTATTCAGGTAGAATGTATTACTCTTGTGCCTTTAATTTTGGGGGTGGGGGTGGTTCTGGTTCTGTATGTTTCAGTGATTATGATGTTTCTTATTTTACATACCATATCTATTTGTGTGCCACTTCTCATTACCTAGTTCTTTTACACATTTTATAGAAAAGGTGGGGGAAACATCAATAAAGTTTTCCTATATTTTTGCTTAAAATAGCAGTGCTAGCACAGGGAGTTTGCTAAGTGAAAATTTACTCAGCTCTTACCATGTTGGACAGAAGGATTAAATTTCAAGAAAAAGCCTTTGCTCAGGCTAAAGCAGAATTTCAAAACTTTTACCTAGGATCTGGGAGTGTAGCCCAGAGTGTTTTTCTCAAAATTTACCACAAGAAAATTAGGGTGGGGAAAGTATGTTATTTATTTATTTGTTTGCTTGTTTGAGACGAATTTTCACTCTCATTGCCCAGGCTGTCGTGCAGTGGCATGATCTCGGCTCACTGCAACCTCAGCCTCCCGAGTTCAAGCAATTCTCCTGCCTCAGCCTCCCAAGTAGCTGGGATTACAGGCATCTGCCACCATGCCTGGCTAATTTTTTGTATTTTGACTGGAGATGGGATTTCACCATGTTCACTGGGCTGGTTTTGAATTCCTGACCTCAGGTGATCCACCTGCTTTGGCCTCCCAAAGTGCTGGGATTACAGCTGTTAGCCACTGCACCTGGCTGGGAATTTTATTTGATTTATTTTTGTGGCAGGGCCTTGCTCTGTTGCCCAGGTTGGAGTGCAGTAGCACATTCACAGCTTACTGCTACTTCAAATTCCTAGGCTTAAGCTGTCCTCCTGCCTTGGCCTCCTAAGTAGCTAGGACAACCGGTGCACTCCCCAATGCCTGGCTGATTTTTTTCTTTTCTTTTTTTTTTTTTTGAAACAGTCTCAGTTTTGCCTAGGCTGGAGTGAAGTGGTACGATCTCGGCTCACTGCAAACTCTGCCTCCTAAGTTAAAGCAATTCTCGTGTTTCAGCCTTCCAAGTAGGTGGGATTACAGGCATGCAGCACCATGCCCAGCTAATTTTGTTTGTATTTTTAGTAGAGATGGGGTTTCACTGTGTTGGCCAGGCTGGTCTCAAACTCCTGGCATCAAGGGATCCACTCACCCTGGCCTCCCAAAGTTAATTTTTGTTTTTATTTATTTTGCTCAGGTTGTTCCCCTAACTTCTAGGCTCAAGTGAGCCTTCTGCCATGGCCCCCCAAAGTGTTGCAATTATAGCCATGAGCCACTGCACCTGGCCAGAATTTTATTTTCTACTCCATTATGCATTTGTTTTAACTAAACACACAAAAAAATTTAAAATAGATAATTTTCCTTCAAATTAACATCCAGAGCCCAATTGAACTTTGCCAATGGTTGTGTATTTCTTAAAGAATCTCTGTTCTTTAATAGTGCTTGAGGACTCTAACTTGAACTGTTTTGAAGCTTGTGGTTGACTGAGATTTCCTCTGAGAATCAATGTAAAAGGATAGAGAAATGTTATACAAATAAATATGGTAAATGTAAGGTGCATGATACAGCATTTTCAATAGTCTGTCATCATTTTACATATACAGTTCCTTATATTTTAATGTTAAATTTGTCTTAATCTATACCTTCTTTCATACTTTTGATTTACTTTCAGGTGAGAAGCCATTTAAATGTGATCAGTGCAGTTATGTGGCCTCGAATCAACATGAAGTAACTCGCCATGCAAGACAGGTTCACAATGGGCCTAAACCTCTTAATTGCCCACACTGTGACTACAAAACAGCAGATAGAAGTAACTTCAAAAAACATGTAGAGCTACATGTGAATCCACGACAGTTCAATTGCCCTGTATGTGACTATGCAGCTTCCAAGAAGTGTAATCTACAGTATCACTTCAAATCTAAGCATCCTACTTGTCCTAATAAAACAATGGATGTCTCAAAAGTGAAACTAAAGAAAACCAAAAAACGAGAGGCTGACTTGCCTGATAATATTACCAATGAAAAAACAGAAACAGAACAGACAAAAGTAAAAGGGGATGTAGCTGGAAAGAAAAATGAAAAGCCTATAAAAGCGGAGAAAAGAGATGTCTCAAAAGAGAAAAAGCCTTCTAATGTGTCAGTGATCCAAGTGACCACCAGAACTCGAAAATCGGTAACAGAGATGAAAGAGATGGATGTGCATACCGGAAGCAATTCAGAAAAATTTTGTAAGACTAAGAAAAGCAAAAGGAAGCTGGAAGCTGACACCCATTCTTTACGTGATCCTGTGAATGATGAGGAATCTTCAACAAGAAAGAAAAGGAAGGTAGAAAGCAAATCCAAAAATAATAGTCAGGAAGTGCCAAAGGGTGACAGCAAAGTGGAGGAAAATAAAAAGCAAGATATCTACATCAAAAAAAGTACAAAGAAGAAAACTCTGAAAAATAAATCAAGTAAGAAAAGCAGCAAGCCTGCTCAGAAGGAGCCTGCTCAGAAGGAACCTGTTGAGAAGGGGCCTGCTCAGATGGACCCTCCTCACATGGAGCCTGCCCAGATGGGGCCTGCTCCCACAGAGGCAGTTCAGAAGGGGACCGTTCAGGTGGAGCCGCCGCCTCCCATGGAGCCTGCTCAGATGGAGGGTGCCCAGATACAGCCTGCTCATGCCGAGCCTGTTCAGATGGAGGTGGTTCAAGAGGGGCCTGCTCAGAAGGAGCTGCCACCTCCTGTGGAGCCTGCTCAGGTCGTGGGTGCGCAGATGGTACCTGCTCACATGGAGCTGCCTTCTCCCATGGAGACTGCTCAGATGGAGGTTTCCCAAATGGGTCCTGCTCCCGTGGAAACTGTTCAGATGGAGGTTGCCCAAGAAGAACCTGCTCCCGTTGAGGTGGTTCAGAAGGAGCCTGTTCAAATGGAGCTGTCTCCTCCCATGGGGGTGGTCCAGAAGGAGCCTGTTGAGATGGAGCTGTCTCCTTCTATGGAGGTAGTACAGAAGGAGCCTGTTCACACAGAGCTGTCTCCTCCCATAGAGGTGGTCCAGAAGGAACCTGTTCAGATGAAGCTGTCTCCTCCCAGAGAGGTGGTCCAGAAGGAACCTGTTCAGATGGAGCTGTCTCCTCCCATAGAGGTGGTCCAGAAGGAACCTGTTCAGATGGAGCTGTCTCCTCCCATAGAGGTGGTCCAGAAAGAACCCGTTCAGATGGAGCTGTCTCCTCCCGTCGGGGTGGTTCAGAAGGAGGCTTCTCCTCCCATAGAGCCTCCCTTTCACATGGAGCCAGTTTCCAAAAAGCCTCCTCTCCGAAAACATAAAAAGGAAAAGTCTAACATGCAGAGTGAAAGAGCACAGAAGGAGCAAGTCCTTATTGAAGTTGGCTTAGTGCCTGTTAAAGATAGCTGGCTTCTAAAGGAAAGTATAAGCACAGAAGATCTGTCACCACCATCACCACTGCTGCCAAAGGAAAATTTAAAAGAAGAGGCATTAAGAGACCAAAAATTACTCGTCAGAGGTGAAGGAAATCAAGAAGCCCCTCTTCAGAAAGTAGGAGCAAAAGAGGCAGATGAGAGCCTACCTGGTCTTGCTGCTAATATTGAGGAATCTACCCATGTTTCATCCTCTAGACAAAACTTAAATATGCCAGAGGGTGAAAGTTCAGATGGTAAACATCAGACCGACGCTGTGGTTTGTGAAATGGAAATGGACACTGATGAGAACACAAGAGAGAATCTCCCTGGTATAAACTCAACAGTTCAAGAACCAGTTTCACCAATGCTTCCCCCCTCAGCAGTAGAAGAATGTGGTGAAGCAGTGTCTAAAACTGCACCACCATCACCTCCTGCTACCATGGCAGTAAATGAGTCTCAGGAAATTGATGAAGATGAAGGCATCCACAGCCATGAAGGAAGTGACCTAAGTGACAACATGTCAGAGGGTAGTGATGATTCTGGATTACATGGGGCTCGGCCAGTTTCACAAGAATCTAGCAGAAAAAATGCAAAGGAAGCCTTAGCAGTCAAAGTGGCTAAGGGAGATTTTGTTTGTATTTTCTGTGATCGTTCTTTCAGAAAGGGAAAAGATTATAGCAAACACCTCAATCGCCATTTGGTTAATGTGTACTATCTTGAAGAAGCAGCTCAAGGGCAAGAGTAATGAAACTTTGAACAAGGTTTCAGTTCTTAGTTTGTAAGGTATATTACATTTTATATTCATTTATAGTAGTAGACAACCTTTTAAGATTGCTTTAATTAGTCTCTGATGTTGATTTTTAAGTGGCACTCTTTTCCTTAGGACTTTTTATGTATACCTGTTGATGTATAAATTTAGCAAATCTACTAAACCAGCAGATACCTAAATCTGTTAGCTTATGTGTCTAATTGAAATGAGGCTAAGATGGTATAGCAGCATTTTATTGCTTTGTCCAGCTACAACTTGTCATTTTTTTCTCCATGTCTCTTCCTGTTTCACTTTAGTTTATTCTTAGTTTTTTATTGAGATCTATAAAAAATTGGCTTAATAGCAAATTACTTGAATAATTTGCCTGCTTTATATAAAGTTAGCACTTTAAGATTTTTTTTTAGAGATGGAAAGACATTTACATTGAAGAAAAATTGTCCCAGCAATAGACATTCTATCAGTCCAAGCATAGACATCCTGAGTTTTGATCAATATTTTTTATTTGTGTATGTTAATCGTCATGAAAACAATGATTTTGGTGTGTTTTTTATTTTGGTGCTTTAATGGCTTAAGATGTTGCACATTTTTTTTTTTGTTTCTGTTTTTGTTTTTTTACCTATGCAGTTAAAATTTTCCTAGATAGAACATTTGTGTTAAACAGTAACACTTTATACGTATATATATATATGCATGTTTATTTTGGCCTCTTTGGAGGGATGCTTTTAGACTTGTTTGCAAAAGGGCAGTTTTCTTTTTCTTTGCTGCAGTTGTCTATTTTGCAGAATAATAGTGTGTGCAAGTTTGTGAGCAAATGAAACATGCAGGTTCAATCCATTGATTTTGATTTTTACATCTTATATCTATGCCAGAATCTTTATTTCATATAACTTATTTATTTTGAATGGATGTAGTAAATTCACAGTTCTCAGTTTTGATTTTGCAATAAATAAACCACTAGGTTCCATATCGAACAAATTTTTATCTCAAATACCAACCATCAATTTTTTTTTTCTTCATGTGTTTTGGTACAGCTAATTCCCAATTTTAGTGTGTTAAATGTTTGAGGAAAACCTTTTCTCATAGATGGTTGGTGTGCATGTGGCTACTTTACAATAAAGAACTGTAAGTGATATTTGGAAACTGCAAACCTGGAATTAGGAGACATAATTATTCCTTCAAGTTTTACAGAATATCACTTGGAAGATTCCAAAGCCATAGCTATTACGCGGCAAACCTAGGTTATGAGAGGTAGTGTGAGTGCTGGCAGACCAGCTGCAACTTTCCTATACAGTGAAAAAGGCTGGTGAAACAAGTACAGGCCAGATTTTAAAAAATCATACTTTCTCAGGGATCTCCACAAACTAGTGGGTGTCCTGGCTGTCTCTGTGATAGCCTCTTTCTACATACAGGTGAGGCCTCAAATGAATTGCAGCTATCCTGGTGTTCCTGTGGGGGCACTTTGTATGAAAAAGGGCATGTACTCCAAAACATTTTTGTAGGTTCTTTGGCTCATCGCCAAAGCGTATGAAAGAATCCAATATAGGATTTTTCTTACTGATAGCAGTTATTCATTTCAGTAAAACAAAATATGATCCCAGTAGGGAATCTTGAATTCTGACCTCCCATATTCTGTTTTGAAATAACCACTTTGTATTTCATTTTAAAAAATCTGATGATTTCTTTGAGGCAGGTTTCAGATTTTGGCAGTACAACAGGAAAGATTAGGAAAAGCATGAATAATAGTGTATGGATGGAGAGCTTGTTAAAAATCTGAGAGTGAAGTTTGAGTTAAAAGTTGTTTGAACATGGAATTGACTGGGAGGCCAAAGATTTAAAGAAGCAGAAGATTCTTCTCTTAAGACATGAGGAGTAAGTTGTGTGATAATGGTGTGTGTTTTGTGTGCATGATTGAACATTGTAAATGTTGAATTCTAGGCTCTGACAATCACTGTCAACAGAAGATCAAGCTGCAAATATTTATGTTTTAAAACTTAAATTATAAAGCTAGTTAAATCTAATGACTAGTTTTAATGTTCATGGGTACATTTTACCTTACCGTTTACATTGTATAGAAAAAGATTCATCTTAAGCACAGATTGGATATTAGGAGTTAGTTTGGGGAAGAGTTTTTTTTTTGTGGATTCTTTCATACTGTAGAAGAAAAACCATTTGCCTTCTAGGGAATTGAGCTAAATTCTAAACTAGTCATTAAGACTAGAATGCTAAAAACAGAAACATGAAGGAAATTAAAACCCCTTATTATTAAATTGATATGTAAAAACATTGTTACTGGAAATTGATTGGACTTGAGGCCTTCTTCAAGAAAATAAGGACTTGATTGTCAGGCCTATATTAGGTTCTGAACCTTAACGCCGTGTATTTGTACTTATTAAAAATTGTTTCAATTAAAAGTACATTAGCAGTATGAACTTCTGGTCCAGTTGGAAGTTCTTTCATCTGAAAAATGTGATATTTGCATGGAACTGTTTGAATCTTTTTATTTTCTAGTCCCCCTCCCCCACACTGGATAGAATTTAAGCTAGAATTTTCCCTTTGGATAAAAGAACAAAAAATGAACATGTTATTTGTAAACTGATGTTTAGTAACTAGTGATAAACTTGAAATAATAGAATACATTATAAGCCTTAATCTTAGGTAGTCTTATAAAAATGAATCTCTTAACTATCTTTTGAACCTATATTCACATTGGTTTTCAGATACTTTAAGTTATATTTTTTTTCTGTTTTCAGAGCTGCTTTTTATTCTGGGGCTACTTTTTTTATTGTATAATTCACAAGGGGCTGCTTTTTTTTTTTCGATAAGGCTTATAACTATGGCTGGATGTTTTGCTCTAGTCTTCTAAGAAGGGCCATTTTATTTTTTAGAGTCACTTCTAAAGTCATGTGGTAATAAACTTTGGAGACTCTTTGGCATATGAGAGCTGATACAAATTAAAACCCAAGTAGACCTCATTGCGTGTCACCCTATGAATGTTGACAATGGAAGGAATACCTTGCCTGTAGCATACTGTCACTTCTGAACTGAAAAGCTGAGGAAGAAAGTTAATTCTTTTTTGCATAAATCAGAAAAACTTATAGTGTTCCCAGTTTCCTGGTTGACCTCAGCAGATGAAGTGGACAGGTAGTGTTAATTCAGATTGAAGAAATTGTCTGAATCTTGGTTTGTGTAGATTTACAATCTACATGCAATATTAACTAAATCAGATAGCTTTTACAGTTTCACATGTGTACATAGGTTCGCTCCCAGTCCCTTCCATATCCATTAGTTATTGAACTTTCTAAACTGGCATTGAAACATTACAACAATGTTTTGTTGCACCAATTTTATAAACTTATGCAGTGCAATACGTGTTATTTTTCTGAGGCAAACCAAAGGTAAATTTCTCAAGGTTCTTGCTGCCTTCTTTAGCAGCATTTGATGGAAGATCTTTTATACATTTGTAATAGATAAAAATAAACCAGATTGCAAATCCTTTTTTAAAATCTTAAACCATGTACCAAGTTTTTGGTCCAAATTGTGTAGAATAAGTTAAACTTAAATTGCATTTTATTAACCAATATGAGTGTATTTCTGTAAGCATAGTTATGTTGAAATAAAGTTTTAAAAAGCATGATGCCTTTATTTATTATTGGTACAAGAATGTAGGAAACCAAATTTATGTTGCTGGAACTGCAAGTATATAATAGGCTTTTCAAGATTATTTCCCACAGGTGACCTGTTGCAGGTAGAAAAGTCACAGCATGTTGTTTGGGGTAACGATCCAGCATTGGGGTAACAACCCCCAAAGCATACACTGCTTTCTGGGAGGTGGGAGGTGGGTGAGAAATTGGACAAGTCACACAAGATTTTAAATAGTAATTACTTCCCAACCACAAGTCCCCTTAACAGTTTTAATATGCATATCCCTTTTCTTTTTTCTTTTCTTTTTTTTTTTTTTGAGACAGCGTCTTGTCACCAGGCACCAGTCTGGAGTGCAGTGGCGCGATCTCAGCCCACTGCAACCTCAGCCTCCCGGGTTCAAGCAATTCTCCTGCCTCAGCCTCCCGAATAGCTGGAACTACAGATGTACACCACCACACCTAGCTAATTTTTATATTTTAGTAGAGATGGGGTTTCACTATGTTGTCCAGGATGGTCTTGATCTGACCTCGTGATCCGCCTGCCTTGGCCTCTCAAAGTGCTGGGATTACAGGCGTGAGCCACTGCGCCCGGCCGCATATCCCTTTTCAGTAGCAGGCCTGGAATTAGTGAATTTTGATTCATAATTGGAGGAAGATGTTTTCTTTTATAAAAGTAGACATGAAGGCTGGGCGCGGTGGCTCAAGCCTGTAATCCCAGCACTTTGGGAGGCCGAGGCGGGTGGATCACAAGGTCAAGAGATCGAGACCATCCTGGTCAATATGGTGAAACCCCGTCTCTACCAAAAATACAAAAAATTAGCTGGGCATGGTGGTGCGTGCCTGTAATCCCAGCTACTCAGGAGGCTGAGGCAGGAGAATTGCCTGAACCCAGGAGGCAGAGGTTGCGGTGAG